GTCCCTCTCCCCCTTCTCCCATCTTCCCTCTCCCACTCTCCCTCTCCCTCTGTCCCTCTCCCCCTGTCCCTCTCCCCCTTCTCCCCTCTTCCCTCTCCCACTCCCCCTCTCCCCCTCCCCCTCATCGCTCCTCTCCGTCGGCGGGACACATCTGAGCGGCAGTGAAGCCCTGCTGGAACTTGAACTGCCGCTTGTCGTAGTACTTCAGCAGGCTAGGGCTGTGCGGGTGTCGCTGCTTCAGATGGACGTAGTGCAGCTCCGGGTCCATCGACGTGTGACCGCAGTCCTCGCACACGTAGATCTTCGAGCGCCGTTCCTTGTAGGCGTAGCACTGCTGCACGCCGTGCACCTTGCGAGCGTGCGACTCGAGAGAGCAGCGTTGAGTGAAGCGCTTCTCGCAGTGACCGCACTGGTACGGACGCACGCCTGCGCACGGAGAGATGGAGAGAGAGCGAATATTAGCGCGGGCGTGTGAGCACAGTGTTGGGATTATTTACATTTATTCTACGTGAAGGGATTCTCGCAGTGGCTGCACTGGTACGGATGCACGTCCGTACACGGAGAGAGCGAGAGGGAGAAAGAGAGAGAGAGAAAGAGGGGGAGAGAGAGAGAGACGAGAGAGCAGAGGGAGAGAGAGAGAAGAGACGAGAGAGGAGAGCGAGAAGAGTGAGAGAGAGGAAGAGAGAGACGCAGAGAGAGAGATGAAGAGAGAGAATGAGAAGGAGAGATGAGAGACGAGAGGAGAGATAGAGGGTTAGGGGGGGTGAGTCATACTGAGCACGGATACCATTGATGTTTAACTTTTAGCCATTATTTTTACGGCAGGAAGCCTCATACGGAGGAGGCCGGCGGGCTGAGAGAGGAGGCAAGAAGAACAAGGAAGAGCAGGAGGAGACGACGCGGAGGAGAATGGAAGGAGGAAAAGGCAGAGAAGAAAAAGAAGAAGAAGACGCGAGAGAGGAAAAAGAAAAGGAAGACGCAAGGAAGAGCAGAGACGGAGCGGGAGAAGAAAGGAACGGGGAGGAGGGACGACTCGCATAGGAACGGCAATAAATAACGAACGACTTCGAATAACAATCGCGTAAGTCAACTTGCATAAAAAATATGCAACACACATTCTAAATAATGGTTGTGAATATACCGTCTCGTGCTGCTCGGCCTTACGCTGTATCGCGTGGGCGCAGTGTGTCTCTCAGATAAACGGGTATCGTGTTGAAACCTTGCCGCAGAACGTGCACAAGTACGTCTTCATGTCGCTAGATGGCACTTCATTGGTGTCGGTATTCAGCAGACGCTGCAACAGCACGCCCCTGCACGCGCGAAAACAGTCCTCGCGGAAGACACCCAACATGATTACCGTCTCCGGCGCCGCCCACGCGATCAAGCGCACGTCATCCTCACTCCGGGGAGCCTCGATGGAGAAACCGAAAGGCGAGCGTGGCGCGTGTGGTTGATATACGGTCACGCGGCGAATAAACCGTCATCAGTGGATCGTGAACTCAATGAGAAATGAAATGTGGATTCAATTGATAACGTATGCACATACTACACGTGCATATATTATTAAGACGCATATTATATATATATAATATATGTAATTCGTATACTATTATATATATATATGATATAAATATGTTAATATAATAGATATATATATCAATATGCTACTATTTATATAATATATATAAATATGTATATATACATGCCACCGCTTTTGGTGGACTCGTGTGGACATTTAATAGTCATGACGAAGGACGCTAGCTAGAAAATACACGAGCGCCTCGTATCGTCTATCACCGATGGGCACGTGGGAAGCAGATTCACAGATTCCGAACTCTCCGTTCTCTCTCTCTCGCCGTCCTGTCTCGTCTCTCTCTCTCTCTCTCTCGGCCTTTCTCCTCCTCGTCCCTCTCTCCTTGTCTCTCTGCTCTCTCTCTCACTCTCTCCCTCCCTCTGGATCGATCTCATCTCGTGCAAATCTCTCCAGGTATCCGTCTCTCCTCCACTGCCGGCTCTCTCCCGTCTCACCCATCGCCGCGTCTGCCCCGGACCTTCTCTTGCTCTCTCTCTCTCCTCAGTCCTTCTCATCTCTCTCTCTCTGTCTCTCGTGCTCTGCGCCGTTCCTCGCTCTTTCCCTCTCTCTCGTATCCTATCTATCTCTGGTGTGTGTCCTGGCCTCTCCTCTCTCTTTCTCGTCTCTCTCTCTTTTCTTTCTCTCTGTCAGCCGTTCTCTCTCTCTTGTCTCCTCTCTCTCATTCTCTTTCTCATTCTCCCCTCGCCGGCTCAGCCTCTCGCGGCAGCCTGCTCCTCATTCTCTTTCTCTCGCTCTCCCTCTCTCTGTCTCTCTCTCTTTCTTCTTTATACGATGTTAATTTATCAGTATATATGTATAGATCGTCATACATATATATATATATATATATACATATATATATATACATATACATATACATATATATATATATACATGCTAATAATGCTAATGATAAGCTCCCGACGATCGCACACGTACGTACCTTTGAGCAGATCTTGCAGAGAAACTTGTTATCGTCAGCCTGGATCGGCGCTGGCGGCAGCGGTTCCGTGGCGACGTGGTGGTCGCCGCCTCCGCCGCCCTTCCCCGCCGCCTCCCGCAGCAGCGGGTTCTTGATGCCGTGTCCACCATTGATTACCTCTACGGGAATGTCCGGCGGCAGGCCGAGCTGCAGAGAGAGGAGGGGGGAGGTTAGTGAAGGCTAGCTGTAAGAAGAGAGAGAGAGAGAGAGAGAGAGAGAGAGAGAGAGGAGGGTGGAAGGAAGAGGGAAAGGGCAACAGAGAGGTGCCATAGAGAGTCCGAAACAGAGAGAAAGAGAGAGAGAGTAATAGAGGGAAGGTGGAGAATAGAAGAAGGGGGAAACGGAGAGAGGAGCGAAGAAAAAAAGAGTGGGAGAAGAAAAGAGGAGAAGAGTGGAATAGAGAGAAAGAGAGAGCGAGAAAGAGAGAAAATGAGAGAGAGAGAGAGAGAGAGAGAGAGAGAGAGAAAGAGAGCGAGAGAAAGAAAGAC